AAGCCCTGCTTCGTTTACATCTGCCCGTTGCCGATAGTTGCCAATCAATTTTCTCTCACGGCTTTTCTCATCCCCGTCGCTGAGGAGCTAGCACGGCAAACTATCACTTGGCGGCATAAAACAGCGCGGATGGCCATCAATGAAATCCAGGCGCATAAATCATCGACACGAACGATCCGCAAGGATTGAGCCGACGAAAATAAAAAATCAAAAGAAGAAAAAAGAAACGGAGAGAGAGGGCGAGAACCGAAAACAGTGAGCTCTCGAGGATTAATCTGTGATAAATCTTTTAATGTCTCGCTAAGCCGAGAGTCAGAGCTGCGAGAGGAAAAATAGTAATAATCAGGTCGCGCAAAGCTCCCCGTGGCCTGCGTACGTAAGACTGGCTACGGCTGGTGTCGCTGTCTGCCTGTGTACAAACACTCGAATTACCTCGGGAAAAGAAACATCTGTCCGCGGAGCTCTCTCTCTCTCTCTCTCTCTCTCTCTCTGGCTCAGCTCCCTTTTCAGACGCAGCATGGCGGAATGATCGCGCAGCTAGTTACGCTACTGTCGGCTTTGCGTTTGCGGTTCCTTATTCTCTTACATTTTCAATCTTAGCCGCGATGATTCGTCTAATGCGTGCTATAATACTTGTGTGCACACATGCATCGGCAACACGAACGCGGACTTTTTGTGTGGAGCAAGTGTTTGTGTACACTAGACGCGCGCGCCCAATGTTTATCCATGACCGTAGTCTCTCTCTCTCTCTCTTGAGAGAGTCGTTATTGCGTTTCAGCGCGATCTATTTTTGAAATACTTCAGCGCTCCGTAAGTAGCTAAAACTTCTGTTGCTCCAAATTTTCAACGCCAAGTGTCGAAGCATAAAGAGAGAGAGAGACACGGCGCTCCGAACTCGTTCGGAATGCAGGCAAGCAAAAGGGAAAATAAAAAAAAGGGGGCAGTGAGTATAAAATCCGAGGCAGTGAAGATATTATCCGATGACCAAACGATCGCGCGCACATCTTTGATTTATAGGAAGTAATAGTAAAGAGTACAATTTTCGGAAAGTCCATAATATCCATCGTGCGCGTTTCGAAAAAGGTCGCCCGATCGTTAAGTTTTATAACCGTTTCTAGGAGGCGACAGCCGCGTCCGTTTCTCTCCTCGGTCTACCTCTTTTCCCCACCTTTTTTTTGTTTTTTTTTTTTGTTTTTTTGTTTTTTTTTTCACTGGGAGAAATCAGAGTGATTCCGGTGTGCAAGCAGCAGATTGCACTTTTGTTTAAGCAGAGTGTCGAAAAAAGGTTTTGCTCAGGTATGCAGGACGCGTGCTCTGCAGACACAACTAATCGATCAATCGATCTACAAACATATCGGAGCTCGCTATCTAAATCCAATATCTCTGAGCATCCTAATCTGGCCAGCAGTCGTATAGTCGATCCTTATCGAGCCACGCAATCTTCAATTTTTTCCGGTTTGCCTTGTAAAACTTGCCTCTGGAAATAAACTTAGAGAATACAAAGAAAGGATAATAATCTCGTAGCGAGATTTAAAGTGAGAGTTTGATTTGAGTTTGAGAATAGAAGGAAAGAGCAAAGCGATGGCGAAATGCATTGGAATTAAATGCGTAAGGTATGAGAAGCAAATTATCCAGTCGAGGACACTCGAAAAGGGGCCGAAGGCGACGCAGTTATTGGGGCGTCGCCTCCTCCTCCCGCAACGCTACGCTCTCTCATTGTCGCCTGTCGGAGCCGCGTAAACTAGCTGATCTCACAAGGTGCGTGTGTGCGGAGTGGAGGGGTCTGTGGCCGAGGTTGGCAACAATGTGTCGGTGGTGCGCAGCGTCGGCAACTCGAGGTGTCTTTCGCTTCTCCATCCCCGTCAACACAATGGATGCGAAAAATCATCCATTATCCTTGGCTGCAGCGCTCCGAAACGAGCGGGACAATGGCGTACGCCCATATATCACTTGGGCCGAGGGCTTTTTCCGAAAAGCGCGCGCGAGCGAGTGGTGGGGCGAAGGTGTGCGGCAGCTACCGGGAACAGGCCAAAATAACCATTTTCCAACTAGATCCTCGTTTGGCCCGCAGTGTATGTCGGCCGATGCGTTTGTGATGCGTGCATGGCTATTATGCGCGACTTTCGAAAAACCCACCCCTCCGTTTATTGCATCCCTTTTTACTCGGCCATTCATCGCTCGGCCCCTCTCTGTCCTCTGCGGGGCTCGCTAGCTCCTGCTCCGGACCAACTGAAAGAGAAAAACTTCACTTTTCACGAGGCTTTATTAGCTGCTCTTGACTCGCGCGCGCGCGCACGCGCAATGCAGCGTCTCGAACGGCGCTGGCCTCGGCTCGCCGCTCTGAGACAATTCGCGCGCGCGCTGCATTGTTGGCTCCTGCGGGCAGGAAGCATAACAGCCGCAGATGTTTTTTTCTTCTTCTAGCTGCCTTCGCCTTCTTTGTAGCTCCAAATTTGTTTTCCGCGTAAGTCCTCGTTCGGAATTCTCCGAGCTGCTGCCAAAGGTCCGAATGACAAGTCTTTACACGAGCGAACTTGGTCCACCGAGGAGCACATGGAGGAAGTGCTCGTAAATCGCCTTGGCGTTAATTTCCCATGCGATTTTCGCGCGAGAGGCAGAAAAGCGGATGCAGCGTGCTTGTTCGCTTGCCAAGCTAGCAGCAGCAGCAGCAGCAGCAGCAACAGCAGCAGCAGCAGCAAGTGCTCTCTCTCTCTCTCTCTCTCTCTCTCTCTCTCTCTCTCTCTCTCTCTCTCTCTCTCTCTCTCTCTCTCTCTCTCTCGGCTGAGTCTGATACATCAGTTGATTATTTCTTGGTACTTTCCACTAACGATTACAAAGCTGCATATACACTGTTATCGCTCTCGATCGTGAATCGCGCAACGAACTTACAGCAGGCAGAGAGCCGAGCTATCTCTCTCTCGCTCTCGCACACAAGAGGCAATCTCGTAAGACTTTGCTTGCAGCGAAAACGACTTCTCTCCCTCGCTCGCTTGCTCGCTGGCTCGCTGGCTCGTCCGTGCTTCATAACAATATCTCTTCGTATTGTACCTTTTTGGGTCTCTTTTAGCTTATGCACACATACTTTCGAGAGAAGAGCGTGCACGTCACTCGGACGAGAGCAAGAGAGCGAAAAAAGGAGGATCGCAGAGCACAAATAGATGTAGAGCTGTGCGGCTCGTAGCGTGCATCCGAGGATCATCTCCTGTGCGCGCTCTCTCCCTCTGCCAACTAAAACGATTATAATAACTACTTTATCCCGCGTGAATCTGGCCTATTGTGCTGGCTATTCTCAAAGTCATAACACGATATCTGTAGGGTGTCACGAGGGACTGACTCGGCACATACACAGGCGCGGACCAACCCGACCGAGCCAGCTACACAACGGAGCAGCGCGCCGATCATCGTCATCCTCTCAATTTTTATCCGCGCACGCGCAGCCCTGCACCCAAGTACGGAGGAGTCGGCAGACGTGTGGGGGCCCAGCCAGCCATAGGCAATATTTCACGCGCATATTGTTGCCATCTGCACCGATAGAAAGGAGAAAGTGCTTTTATTTATTTGCGCCCGGCCAAGGAGCTACCGACCGCTACGATGCTCTCTCCGTCTGGCCTGCCGGCGACAGATTCCCGAAGGTTATTAATCGTTCGCTCTCTCCACTTTTCGGATCGAGCTTCTTTTTCTCGCTCGCTCGTGGCGCGACTCCGACCGAGATCCGTGCCACGCGTGCTCTTTCTCCGGTCCATTGTGTCCCGTCCATCGGCCAGCCTCTGCGAGCTCGATTTATCAGCCTCCGCCGTCGATCCTCTCGCGCTCGGCCTAATCGCCGAGCCGTTGCCCGGGCGTCTCTCTCTCGTATCTTTGTCATCGCCGGCCAGCTGCTCCGCTCCATTTCCATAAACGCCGCTGCACGCCTTCCGCGCTGCAAAGCGCCCGATATCAGAGACGCTTAGCCATTGCGCACCCAAGGCAGATCGTTTGAGCAAAGAGAAAAGATGGGCCGACGCGCGCGACCCAGTCGGATGAGCGTTAAGACTCAATGGCTCGTGAAGAGCGTTTCATAAATATGAATCGGCGGCACTTGGCCGCCGCAAGCCACGCCGACTCGCATATAAACCGTGTCAGGGCGATAAGTCGTGCTCGCGCGCACGCAACCAGCCGCCTTATCGCGCTTTTCGCGCGTGACGCGAATGCCGAAAGTCCTTCTCGATTAATTGCCCGCTGCTCGAATCGCTCGGCATCTTCGGACGCACTGCGGCTGCTACTCCGCTGCTGGTCCAAATGAGAATTAGCGGTATTCTCGGCGAGCCATAACTCTCGTCGGAGAGAGCGAGAGAGCGGCCATTTCCTCGGCGATAAAAAAAATTCGCCAAGTTTGCGCTTCCGTTTTTTCGCGCCTCCGCCGCCGCCGCTCTTTTTCCTCGAGACTGCGGAAGGAGGGGCACGGGGCGGGGGAGGTGCGCGGAAAAAGATGGAGAAACTGTAGGAGCGCCAAGTCAAGAATCGCCTTGAGGGGTCGTGCCACTGAAATATATGCGGGCTGCTTCCGCTCGAAATAAATAAAGTCACGCCGGGCCGATCTCACTCTTATTCTCGCGCGCCCCCGACAAAGAGTCGCGCGTTACGTGCTGGGGCAGACTGCACGCTCAAAGCGTACTTGATTCACTTTCAAACCGCAAAACTCCTTGTCGCGCTTGCGCTTGCTCGATAAGAGCAAGTGGCGCGACAATGTCACTGATCGACGGCGTCCGTTGCGACTCCCGACGAAAAGACCGATAATCATTCAGGTGAATTTGTAGATTTGGTAGCGACGTCAAGAGGAAGCAGACAATATCGCCAGGTGATTGAGTTTACTCGAGGTCGTGGTCAAGGGGTAAGAGATGTATCGCCGAGGATTCAATCGACCTAAGCGATGGCAGCGCCGAGGCGCGAGGAAAAGGCGAGCTAGGCAACTAACTAATCGGTTGATCGGCTAATCAGGTGAAACGTTTCTGTGATTTCAGGTGAGAAACCGTTCAAGTGCGAATATCCAACCTGCGATAGGCGGTTCGCCAACAGTAGTGATCGCAAGAAGCACAGCCACGTCCACACATCGGACAAGCCATACAACTGCCGGATCCCAGGCTGCGACAAGTCCTACACCCACCCGAGCTCGTTGCGCAAACACATGAAGGTAACGTAAGCGGCCGATCCGCGCGCGCGCGGCCAACAAAACAACAAAACAACCGGACAAATGAACTCGATACCCGCGATAAACGACCTCGGAATCGCGATGAGCAATCGGACGGCAATAGCGTCGAAATTTGGCGGAGCGCTGCGCCGTGCTACCGCTTACTCCTTTTTCATCGGAGACGCCCGTGAGTTATTGCCGAGCGAGCGGCTCAGCTCTCGCGTCCGCCTTGCTGCTCCCTCGTTCGTGTTTTATAAGTGAGTTATTGCGATGCGGCACGGCTGGCTCCGCGAACCGATTATTAATTTGATTGTTCGGCGGGTCCGCGCGGTCGGTTTTTGCGCGAGCGCCGCGCCGCGCGCGGACGCAGATCGGACCGCCGATTGAACCTCGGCCCTCTCGATGCTTGCAGGTGCACGGAGTGACGTTGGGTGACGGCAAGCTCGGCGGCGGCGGCGGCGCCGGCGGCTACGAGAGCGAGGGCGAAGAGAGCACGAGCAGCGGCGGCAGCCTGTCGGTGACTGGGCACAACGACTCGCCGCAGCCGTCGCAGACCGCGCAGCCAGTGCCAACTGCCAGCAACAGCCTTGCCGGCTCCCACGCCGGGCACGGCGGCCACGAGGGCGGCGTCGGCGTCCCTGGCGGCCCGGGTGTCCCGCCCGGCCCGCCCGGCCAGCTCCAGCACCCGTCGCCCCTGGCACCAGGCCACCACATAGCTGACACCTGGTACACGGTCTGCCAACCGACGGCGATGGCGCCTCAGCACAGTCCGCTGCCCCACGGCGCGCCACCCCCGCATCACCTTGGTCACCACTTCAACACGTTGATGCACCATCAGGCTACGGCCTACTAGACACGCACGAGAGGGCTTGGCGAGTATTCGCCTCTCTCGTGCCTGCCTACGTCACCAAAGCTCAATCAAAGATCTCCAACTGATTGCAGGGGCGGCTCTGACAGCTCTGACGCTTCGGGGTCCGAGCTCCATAGCTCACCGCTTCTCCGGTTCGCCTATTATCCCCAGTTGCCGTTCGACAGTTCGCCTTAGTATTTTACCGATCATCGCGACAAGCTACTATCGTGTGCTGTAATTGTATATATATATACGTGTCTTAGAATGTCTTACTCTATATATCACTGGGACTCAAAGTGTCAATACTCCCGTCTAGCTTTAACGTTTTTTAGGCGATACTTGCGTGCACTACAGTCGGAAAGCCTCTTGCCATAACAGGATCATCCTCTTCGGCCCATTTTTTTCTCCAGAGAATTTTCCCCCGGCAACGAAACTACCAAGCAAAGCGATTGATTTGCGAGTCACATCGCTTTGAATGAAATCTGCTTGTAGCAACATCCGTTGCTATGGCACCGACTTATTTGCTAAACAATCACGATTGTTTCATTATACAATATTAAGATACACGCGGGACGTAATCATTTCATCGAAGGCGTTATAAAGTGAAGAATTTTATAGCGAAAATGAGAATTCTCTCGGGACAAGAGGAAACCTTCTTGTAATAAGATTACTTGGAGTAGAAGAGTTTCCTCGTGGGCTGCCGCTTTTTAAAGAGAATGCCCTTGTGGCAAGAGGAGGCCTCTCGAGTCGAGAGGGCTTGTTTCTGAGCGTAGGGATGTAATTTTTGAGACTCTCGACCGAGAATCCCGACATTTTGAGCAGACCGTAGCGACCTTGCCTCGTGCACTGGACTAGGGCAACCGTGTCTGGAGGAGGCAACCGCGATCGCGTTTTGTTTTCGTCGTTCCTAAATACAGTCTAACTAATATGTAGTTTTAATAACAAATTCATGCAGTTCGAGAATGGAAAATAACGATTCCGCATGAATACATACAAAACACGCACGTGCCTCGTCGACATTATTTTACACCTTCAAAGTCTTTCGCTCTACATAAATGATGAGTTGTAAATGTGATTAAACTTTAGTCGATTAACTCGCACTATACATCCGTACTGCGAAATGCTTTAATTTATTTTAAATCTACTGTAAAGCTGTCGATACTGTATATATCAAAACTCAAATTGTACATTAACTGAAAATTTTATCCAAAGAAATTCAATATTTCTTTATGAGTTCTTTTATTGACAAATTTATTATCTTATCTCGAGTTAGCTCTGTTGCTTTAAATGTATAATCTTCTTACAACTGATCAATTCAATCTCTTCTTTGTGATTTTATGTTAAACTATTAACGTTCAATTTAGATAAATAAAGTTCAGTCGTGTACATTAATAAAGGAGCTTCATTCATTTTTAATAATTTTCATCATTGAAACTGCTAAATTATTTTGGCAGACACAATTTTAATCAAATTTCAAGTTTATGATTTGTATCAAAAATTCGTATAAAAATAATCGAAATCTAATTAAAGCTCAGTTATAACAATTTCCGTATTATTTCTATATCTGAAAAATTATTCATAAGCGAAAATATTTTTCGACACTCCGTGCGGAAAGTGCGTTTTTCCCGCACGCTCGGCAAAATACATGCGTTGAAAATCGGACTTTCCTCTCGTCGTATCGGAAAATACGGTACGGCACATGTTCGGGAAAGAGTTTCTCGTCTCGTGTACCATTCCACCCTCGCTTCGCTCGGGTGTAAACGCTACGCGAGACTAGAATCTACTTTCCCGCACTTGTATCGCAATGTACTATAATAGACTAAGACTAAGATGTTATAATTGGAATGATGGTGATTTTATCGCAATCTGTTGTTTGGTCATAGCCACGGAAAAACAAATTCCAAAAATATAATAAACGGTGTCGTAAACGTTATAATGACTATTGTTGACACTATATATATTATGCAAAAAAATGAAAACATGAACATTAGCTTCAAAAATTGAAGGGTTCAAAACGCGTACTGAATTAAATGGACGAAATTGTCGGGAAAAAAATAGATAATAAAATAGCCGCACTGTAGCATCACGTTTGTGATTTTCTTTAAAACGGTGTGACGGCTTAAAAAAAGTAACAATGGAAAAACGTGTTTGCACGCCTTCCCTTATATTTCTCGAGTTTGTTTAGCGATGTCTCAAAAACCAAACGAATAATAGCTCTTAAATTCTGCGCCGACACGTATTAGATACGAAATTTCAAAGTTTTAATAAAACGGCATGGATTTTGATTCATGATAAAACTTTTAGAGTACTGGCAAATGACAAATGCGATGAGTATTTTCGAAATAAATTGTTAATACTGCAACAAAATATATGATTACATAAGTTTAGATAAGTGAGTACGGGCCCTTGCGGTTGAGAGAGAAAGTAAGAATGTACCTAGATTTTAAAAGCCTTTTTTGAATAAGAGCGATCTGTGTTCGGTGTAAGATATATCACGTATTGTGTATATTGCGACTTTATTTGAATGTGTGATAATATCTTGTAAATATATACTATATAGCGAAGAGAAAGCATATGCACGCATATAATTCGACCTTATATATATATATAATGTATATATACATATATATGTGTGTGTGTGTATGTGTGTGTATGCATGTATATACATGTATAACGGGCTACAATTTAGTTATAATAACTAAACTTTTTGTTCAAGTCGAGAGTCCCAAAGTGTCCGTCGAACGCACATCTCGTCGCTGCCTTAGAATGTATTTTAAATGCAGAATGCAAATAAAAAGGCTGATTATGTTGTTCAAAAACGAAAGAAATATGCTCATAAGTATTCATTGAATGTCAAAAGCCAGCATCGACTCGAATAAAGATTTTATCAAAAGTATAATTATAGTTTTGTCTTTTCTTATACACATGCGCACACAAGGTCTGAGGTCTGATAAAATCCCAATTCGAAACACGAGAAACAGAGAATAACGCCGAGGACTTGTTTAGGACCGTTACGGGATCGTTCTCTCTCCGCTTATTTTATTCTCGCGTCGAAATTTATGAACGAGCGAGATAATAAAAATCGTCCGGCATTCGGCTCGCGCGCGCTTCGATCTTCCTTCCCCATCTTATTCCCTCCTCTTTCTCTCTCTCTCTCTCTCACACACACACACACGCACACACACTCTCTCTCTCTCTCTCTCTCGGATTATAAGGGTATAATGCTCGCCTGATGAGCTCGAATCTGCGGACACCCCATTCCCAACTGACAACATGCACAGATGCCAATGACGATATCATCACAAACAAATTCATTACAACTAATAGCGCTCAATCCAATTATTGACATATCACTAACATGGTTTGTCATTCTGATTATTAGGTCACTCAACTAGATACTATATCTACTTTCCCTGCACTCTTCTTTCGCAAATAACTAATTTGTAAAACAACAGACTTACGATGTCATTTACAGCTGTTCAACACGAACAAAACAAGCTGATTAGCATAATGAGAATTTGATTGTGGTCAAATGTCTCGGACAAATTTTGTAGGAATATGAAAAGAATGTTAATTAAATGAATATTTATGAGGACTGGCTGGCTATCACATCCTAAATTTAAGATCTCTCGAGATTTAATATACACGAAGGCATACGTAGTGTTAGTCAAGCAGCGGAACATAACGAGTGATCGAGATGCCGAATGTGCCGTGCGCGCACAGTATATTTCAATGCAGGGCGCGAGCGCCAAGCGTATAAATCTTGAGCTTTATCACTGCGGGTCATACAAAATTAATTATCAACTTCTCTCCTCACCGCGACACGCTCGTTTAAGCGCCCTGTAAGAGAGGTGGATAGGTGCTGCTGACCGATTGTCAAAATCTTTGAAACTAAATGACGACAAGTCACACGCGTAAAAATCAAGTGTTGGCGCCACGCATACACAACATACGTGCTTGGATGCGTATCAAAAATAGCAAAGAGATAGCATCTGAAAGTCGTGCTTACGGACGTGTGTGCATATTCAGGAGAATTTTATTGCTCGATATCTAGATGAATTCGTCAGACGATTATCCCGATGGCAGAATCAAGAGAAGTAAAAAGGGAGAAAGAAGAAGAGCTGGTAGAGAGAGAGAGAAGAATGATTGTGTTATGGTAGTAGTGGCATTTTCGAGGAAGGGGCAGGAATGACACGCCCCTGACGAGATCAGTCGAGATTGTGCCACGCGCTCGCCTCTCTGGATTCCCTGATTCGACGACTGATCCTGCGTCTCTGTCAGATCTAAGCTAGCTAGCTGCCCCTTTACTTTGCGCCCTCGACCCTCACTAACACAAACACATACGGCAAACTCATCTCCACGCGCCCGCCGCAGCGGACCATCGTTCTTTCTTTATTTTCTCTCTCTCTCTCTCTTTCTCTCTCTTTATCTCGCAGTTCCCTCCTCGACAAATTCATTTCTCACTTTTCACGCTATCTCTTTAATTCCTGCATTTGCGAATTTGTCGACCAAAAGAGATATTCGAATAACCAACTATTCGTCGAATATATAACTCATTATCAGAGGGATCGATCTAACACACTTCTATTATTTACGGCAGCCAGTAAAGCACCACAACTTTACAAGATACCATCTATCTTCTGTGCAGTGCACAATTGTAACAATCTTTCTCGTATATTTCTTATTCGATCTTCTCGCCGAGAAGTCCGCATAGTCCGAGAGAAGGCGAAGGTAGCTCGGGTTCAAAAATAAAAAACTCCCGATAAATGTTCTTACTTTTATCGCGACCGCGAGCCAACATCGCACGAAATCATGGTCCTTTTTCGCTGCGTGCATCATCTCCCCTTGTCCTCAACTCTACTCGTCTTTTTTCAAACTTATCGATCTTTCTTACGAGCTGACGTTCAGTATTACAGTCGAAGACGCCTCGCGAGCCAACCAACGCGAGTGAGGGCAAAAACGAATCAACAGACAACAAGTAAGAGAGAAATAGAGTGAAAAAGAGCCGGAGGGTTGCAGAGATGTGCGAAAAAAGTATGAACCATAGTGAGGGACAAACAAAGAAATAGAAAAATTGTCAGACAGCCAGAAAGATACATTAGAAAGATAGACAGAGAAGACATTACAGCTGTTGTATAGATAAGAGACTTTGAACAAACTCATTTTATTAGGTAGATTTTAGTGTTGAAGCAAACAGTTTTTTCAATTTTTCAAAATCTTGATTTATCACAAATCATCTCCTTGGTTTCCCTTACAATTGTCATTTTCCTAAAAAACAAACAAATCTAAAATAACGGTCAAAACGAATATATATTTTACAATTCAGTGAATATACCTTACAATTAATGGCAGTAGTCTGTTTTTGAAGTATACACAATTTATTGACCTCGGATAGATTACGTATTCTTCTAAAATTTCGTCAATCTGAAATATTAATTTTCAAACTATAGAAATTCATTAAAGCTAATTTCTGACAATCGTGGATTGGCTATTGTAAATTTAATTGGCAATCATTGCGATCATTGAATCGATAGTTCTGTCTTTCTACTTTTTATTTCGTTATATTTAAGAGTTATTTATTCTTCACATAACTATATCGGGCACTAAAACTGTTTTAGAATTATCGTCTATTTTATCAATAGTGTCTTTACAGCGAATGAATCCAGATTGGAAACACTGCTACTGGAACAAAGAATAATTATCGATTAACGATTTGCATTTGTGAATTTGCATTTGCGTTCAAGTTTTCGATATGTCATTGCGAATATTAGCTTGAACTAGTTTAATTTATTGTGTATTTAAATATATGTTTTATTTTACTCTTTAAATCGTACCTATATAACTTGATAATTAAACATTCAGCCTGGCAGAAGAAAAAAATTCATATCGAAGCTCAAAATTTAAAAAATGCACAAGAAAAATAATTTCCTTTTTAGTTTTTATATGGAATTAAGTACAATACTAAGGTTATATACATTTCTTTAAGCACTTTAATGATTTCTCGTTGGCATGTTTAAACGGCTGCACGTTTAGATGGTTGCTTAATACATCATTCCAATGCACTCTACAAACATTTGTAGGTTATCAGTTGATCTGAAACACGGATACCTTACAACCATTGGACTGAAGAGAATAATTTGAGGAACAATTTTAGGCGTAGTAACTGCTATTGCCAAAGTAAGTTAATGAGTTGCATTTAGTCATTTTTCTCAAGTAGTTCTTTATAATACTTTATAATTAAAGCAGGGAAGATTGGATGGAAACGTGTAACTGACTATTGCGTGCGATACACCGAATGAGATTTCTTTTTAAACTACCATATTAGTTGAATGGAGTGTTACGAGTCATAGGCAAATTATTTCTAGATTTTCATGAATTCCTGAGAAATTGGCGTGCACTAATGCTATAAGTCTTTTATTTCGTTGGATCATGTTCATCATTTATTTTTTGTTATATACAAAGCATCTATATGTATAATACATGACTAGATCGCAAAGTGACAGTGGAAATCCCCTTATCATCAAAAGAAATATAGTAGGCGCCCGTTATGGTTCTAGGGCAATATCTAAACAGATAAAGTATTGTTCATTTGCTAGCCTTACAGACTATCAAGCTAATCTGCACATAAGTGTTCATTACTGAAAATCGAGGATAATGACCAAGTTGGCAACCAAAATATAGGAAAATTGCTTATGTCACAATTCATACTGTCATCGAACGAGGGAAATCGCAAATGAACAAACAACGTTTTCTATATATATTTAAAAGTAATGCACAAAAGAAAGGCGAAGAGGATCGTCACGGGGTAATACGTATAATCGAATGCTGCTGAGGAGGCCGAGAGTCGTGGAATGCAATCCAGCAATATGTTCTCATTTGTCGCTTGAATTTAAATCCAAAACGTTTTCACTCACATTGATTTTTATGGATTTCGAGAGCTATTTTTCACAGGTTAGCGTTATTTGCAAGATTTATAATTATCAAAAGTTGTTCCGTCATTTAGTGTCCTAAAAAAATAAATAAAGCGCTTTATGCACTTTATTGCACTTTTTCACCACTTTGTTCTAACATTATTTGTTGGTTCCCTTCCGGGAACTTTTACGATAGTGAGTAAGATGTAAAAGATAATTATGCCCATTGGTAGCATAAAAACATTTATTCATCGTACGTTTCGGAGCTGTAAAATATCCTGAAAGTATTACATAAGAAAAATTGGCGATTCGAATTTTATCCTACCCATTGATAAACATATTCATGATATGTTCACGTGACAAACAAAACGCATACTGTTATAAATGTAGTAAATCCAATTTTGTTCAATTCATTTGTGGAGATTTGTCGTGTTTATCTGTGATCCTTGGCATAGAATATTACTAATGACTACAAACGATAAGCATCGATGCATCTTTTTATAAGCGGACGAGCATTCGAGCTGGAGTTCGGCCGAGCTATCCCCGAAAAAAATTAATTTTGACAAGATAAGATCTCCTATTAATCGCAGCGTTGGAACGGAAGGAGAGGAGGAGAGAGGAAGAGAGAGTCGACGCGTGCGTGCGTAAATGGGTTACAAGGTGGAGATTCCAGGCAGCGGCGGCGAGTCGCGCCACTAGGGCGCAATATTATAAATTATTTATTTGCGTTTCCAAATGATCCTTGAAAAATCATGGTATTATGC